TTAACACCAGCAGGAAGAAACTTCTACCAGTTATTAGCAAAAGTACCAAAATACTGCTACTGAATTATTCAGCGATAGCAAACAATTGACATAACATATTTTACATAAATCAGAGAATACTGTACAGCAGCTAAAGCTGCAGTCCTATATACTATACTATTTATTTACATGTTTCAACTCCTTATTTCCTGTCAACTAACAAAAAGTGTTATGTAAGCCTTTCACCTACCCATTTTTTTAAATGTGCGCATAATATACTAAATTAATATTCAGGATTGATTTGTACAGCAATTTGAAACGCTTTATCCACTCTGAATCAGGAAAAGGCAACTCACAGTCACCAAAAAGTAGCAGCAAAACATGGGAAAAATGTGTGATTTTTCTTGTTGTTATTTGTATTAAATAGGTTTAACATACTGTTTTGTTAAAATCCCCCAAGCCTTCCTCCAAACTAGCTACTGCCCTCCAGGGATATCTGCCATATTTTGCTTAGCTGGGGAAAAAAGGCCACTTTAAAAACTTGCATCAGTGCTAGCACCAAAAGGGTTTTACCATGTTCTATAGCCAAAGGTTAGTAGTAAAATACAACATGGACTTACTCAGAATAGTTGCACAAGTTTTAAAAGACCTGGTGAAATTATTGTGAAGTAGAAAGACAATGTGATGTCAGTGGGTGAGGTGTTAGATTAGGATCACAGAAACCCTAGTTCACTCAAGCCTCTCTTTCCAATATTAGACTGGATTTACTGAGCTGCTAAGGCTCGGAACAGAACCTATGTCCCCATGCTGTTGTGTTAACATAATAGAGGGATTTATATAGATAGTGGCATGAAAACAATGGAAGCAGCTCTCCAAGTAGCAACTATGCTGACAGGATCAAAGGCTGGTTCCAATGAAAGCATCAAAACTGTTCAAATGTAAATCTACCCAAGTTTACCTTTTTTTTAGCCAGCTGATATTTTTTTCTAAGTAAAAAAATTACCTTTAGTCCATTCTGTGGGTTCATCAGAAAATTTCAACCAATGTCATCAAACATAATAGTATTTTTCTTGCTGTAAAACTCTGAGAATTTGCCCCATATAACTCCTAGAGGTTTCACCTATAGAAGCAAAGTTAGAAGAAAATCAAGTAAAGTTGCTGAGTTAAACAATTTTAGAAATCTAAGCCTGCAATTGTCTACTCACTAGCTTGAAGTACAGCCTGCCCGGCCCGTTTTCGGCTCGTCGGACCCCTTGGCGGTGAGGCCTGGGGACCCCCCCCCTCGGGTTTGTTCTAGTCCGCCCGGCCCGTTTTCGGCCCGTCCTCGACCCGAGTCGGCTCGTATTCGGTGGGAGGGCCTGGGCCGTGACCGGGACTCGGGCGGCTTGGAGGGACCCGGGCGGTTCGAAAGGACTAGGGTGGTCGGAAAGAACTTTGGCCGGGAAGATCCCCGGCGGCCTGGTGATGGGGCCTGGTTTTAGGCCACTACTTGACTCCCTGGCCCGGGCGCTGGCCTGTATCGGCTGGTCAGACGGCCTGGCGGTCGACCCGTTTTCGGCCTGAAGAAACATCGACCGGGAGGGCCCAGTATGGCCAACATGGCCGGGAGGAGTTTGGCTTCGGCCCCGCTCCGGCCGATGGAGGACTTGGTGTGGCCGGAACTGAACGTTTACCAACCGTTTACCAACAGCTGAGGATTGGCCTCCCCCCCCCGTTTGTGATCTCCCACATCCGGACTTGCGTCCT